AAAACCTGCTGTAGTGGGTAAAAAGGAATGAAAACACTATCCATGAAATATGATGTGTTAAGCTGCTGTTGCTGCAGTATCACTAGAGCAAAAGTTTTAATTAAAAACAAGATAAACGCGATACCAGACTTTCAGCCGTTTTAAGAAAACTTGGTCACATTCTTCTAACTTGTTACGATAAAAAAGATTGATAGAACTCTGGCTAGCGTGTGGAAGTTACATACTAAACTAAAATAGTACTACACTTTACAAGTCGAGGAGGACACAAATATTCATAAGTTCCAGGTCCTAGTATATTTGCTGATGTAAGTTATAATATATACAAAAAAAACATGAATTAACTATTTGAAGAAATATGCATTTACTATTTGAACAGATTTAATTAGCTATATCGTCACCCACGACGGTTGGAAAAATGGGCAAAATAGTCAAGACCACGAAAAAATCTATACTTCCATATATTATCACAAAGGATTTTCTTTATAATTTTATTAAGCGTGCAGAAATAGAAATTATTTTTATTGCTTTATTAATTTTGAATAATTCGAAATAATTTAAATACTGTCTGTAGTTTACGAGAGTAGTACACATTTTAATATAACACTTGAACGGTTTAAAACGGAGAGTCTCCCCGTGACCAGCAGCCGTGGTTGCAGCAGCAGCAGCAACTCTCCGTTTTCAAAGCAAAGCATCCGAATCGTCGGGCCGTAGTTAAAAATAATTTTCAAATTAATTTAATCAACATATGTCAGTTTTAACCTTAAAGTGATTATTTAAAATTTTCGGCGTTACTAAGTTATTTATACTAATATTGTAAAGCTGAAGAGTTTGTTTAGAATGAATCCAAATCTCGGGGAAACTAGCGTGTCCTTATAGTCTAAAAGTTGTAAGACATTGTGAAAATATTGGAGGAGGCCTATGTGGAAGCGAACCCAATTATTTAATTAATGTTAATATTAAAAGTCCTAACTAGTTACATATATTCATTTATATAAATAAATAATAGTTTTAAAATAGTTTAATGACATAAAATACATAATGTAAAATAATTGAAGATTTTTTAATAAGGAAACTGTAAATATCATTATACACTTCACTGTTTAAGATAAGTATATTGGTTCGTAAATAAAGGCTATTCATTCATTCATTCATAGTGTATAAAAAAATGTCCGTAGACTTAGTGTTATATCTAGCAACAAAAACAATGGACGCGGCCCACGACATGGGTAACAGCTATAATGAATAAGGTCAGGAAGAGGTTTTCAAAAACGATATTTTACGATCGAAATAACTATTCTACGCGTACGAAGTCGCTGGCACACCTAGTGACGTAATACAATGAAGCATAATTAAATAAAGAAGTGATTTGACTGCTTTCGGTTCCGGTATAATACTCTGTCATATACCAGTTAATATTTAATCGTAATACAATCTCGAATCAAACATTATTAGCATTTTCAGTCACGAAAACGTGAGATCAATATCTGAAGGATAATATTCCACGAAGTATATGCAAGTGGGGTGACTAATCATTACATTTTATGAATCATTTTTGTACGTCACGTAGGTAACTATGAAAAAATGTGAACGATAGAGGTAAAAAGATCATTTAGGAACATAGTGACGTTATTGGGTATTGAGTGTATTTTTATTTCTACTCGGATAATTTAATTTATACTTTTTTCAAATGGGGATACATATTCCAGCTGTTGAATAAGATTATCATGTGTGGCCGTCCTATATTGTTTTAAGCTTTCAAAAATTACAGACAGAAACTGATCACTTTCGGATTTTCCGACTGTAAACAAGTCTTTTCTAGACTCGACAATATTTCTATATTTCGTGATATTCCAGAGATTGTCTTCCACCACTTTTAGTAAATAAATAAAAATATTTACACATTCGATTCACCTTTGTATATGTTGTAAAGTAAGAAACGCTTGCTTAATTAATTCATATGATATCTAAAAAAATAATTTCATTAATAAAAATCCCGTTTACAATTAACTATGATATCAAATCACATTGTAACACGATTTGTGCAAATCTAAACAATGCACTAATTAATAAAGTTAATCCCGTGTCCCACGTTTTACAGGGAAATTTTTAATTGGAATCGGCTCATTGTAAAAAAGGCAATAAGAATGGGGAGTCACGTCCCGTTTAATTAAAAGGATACAGAAGATCCCATTAGGATCGATTTGCAGGCAGTGCTGTATTCTAAAAAGGGCAGGGTTTAATCAGTTTAAATTGAACCTGGTCTCCAAATTGTTTAAGGTGATTGGGTTATAAAAGACAATCGCCTAGCCTTCAACTGAATAACATCTTTGTTTAGACTGATTCATGTTGAACAGAATTTTGTTAAAGGGTGAAGAACTATCGTTTTAAACTATGACATCACGGTAAGTATTTAAAACAGAATTATTTTAGAAGTACTAAAAAGTGTGTAGGTTACACACAACTATATACTGTCTCTAGTTTACGCGAGTAGTACACATTGAAATGAAACACTTTAACGGTTTAAAACGCGATATATTAGTTAACTAATATAAAGTTAAAGTGTTTTATTTAAATAAGTCATTATATTATTATACTTTACATTACAACATATAATCTTTTTAGATTCAGAAACATGTTTGTTGGTGGTAATCGAAGCCACGACTTCTTGATCAAGATTTTTTTTCATATTAATTATTTTGTTGTAATCTATTAAGTATGAACTCGAAATAAAGACACGATTACTATCATTATTTTCTATACAAATGACGCGATGAAGGCTGTAAGGGCGTTACTGCATTATATTGTCTACGTGCTCGTATAAAAGTAGTGATTGGATTAAGCCATTGTTTATTAAGCTATCAAATATAAGGGTTGCCATAAAAATTCTCGCATAGGTATAACGTGCGTGCTCGCTTTCCACATGGTGATAAAGCACGGAGCAGACACATTATTGTGTCTGTTTTATTGATGGGTTTTATTTACAGAACATTTTTTTACACTTGTGACTTGTGTGGATATAGTGGGATTGACGTTGTCAAACTGTCATTGACAGACAAAAAAATAACTAAAAATAAAAAGTTGTCAATTACAAGACAACTTTTTATTTAAAAAAAACGATGTTGTCTTTTTAAGCGAGAAAAGATAAACTATGCCTAGTAGTTGCCTCTATGTTAATTTACAATTATAATCCCTGTGCACGAATATAGAGTTACGAATTTTAAGCGTTCAATCAAATACACATTTATAAACCACAATACGTTAATTTTATGTTATAATTAATTATTTAAACCACCAATTATTACAATAATTGCTCATTACCTGCATCATTAAAATAATTATGGTTAACGTATGTAGCATTACGCTTTTTACAATGCGGTTTTACGAATATACTTAGTTGAAATTTAATTTTAATTTTATTTTTGTAAACATATAAGAAATGGACGGGCATAGAAGCTTACAGCGTTTAGTTTTGTTGGTCTAACAATTGAGCTAAAGAGTCCCATCCGAGATAGAAGATTTTTATTAAATATCTCTTTCACCTTCAGGAAATACGAGCTTAACATTTTTAATATGTGCCTTATAATTTATAGCGTTCTTACGCTATCATTAAAGATGAAATAACAAATTTCAACGCACACAACAAATATAAGAATATAATGCTTCAACATTATATTCTTATATTTGTTAACATTTATTTTATGTACCTATAAAATTTTATAACTTATGCTAAACTAAGAGCTTAAACGAAGTTTATCAGCGGTTACTGATGCAATTTCCTCTCATGAGAAGATCTAAATTTTGCGGAGGGTTTTATCCTCAGCGCGGGAGATTACAATCAGAGTGTTAAGTTAAGTGGTCGGAAGTTCTATCTAACACCATCAAAGTTAATTTAGGTAACAAAAACTCCTTCAATTCCTTGTTTCTTTAAATGCTGGGGCAGAAGGTAACGGCTTACGGAAATTACGTTAATACGTTGAAATAGGTGTTATGTTAATAAAAATAAATCGTAAATTTATCTTAAGCACATAACGATTCGTTTGAAATCTTTAAATTTTTTCACATGGCATTAAATAAATTAATAATCGATTTTAGATTGGAAAAATTACGAAAAGTTAACAGTTAGAGAATAAAGCAACAGCACGGAACACTGTAGATTCGAATCCTGCCCGTGTCTTTAAATCTAAAATCGATTTTCAAACTATTTACCTCCTGTTTAACCAATAGCTACGACGCTTTTAATTATACCCTTAAATTCAATTGAAATGAATCAAACGATCTCTAGCAGTAAAATATCACCTTTCACAAAGTTATGGATTCCAATATAAGTAGGGTCATAGCTCGTAAAATTATATAGTTTAGTTATTATAGAATTCCCATGAGACATTATTTTTACTATAAATTACGTTCAGGGCTAATAACGTTACCTTTATGTAAATATAAGATAATTTTTCAGCGATAAAAGCGGCCTTTAGAACCCCAACTCGGTCATTTTGTGCAAAGAAAAAAAGATGAAACGTTTTTCGGTAAAAATTGGATAGGTTAATGTAAAAAAACCGTTTTGTGCGAAAAGTAATTTTCAATCCTTTTTCTATACAATTTTCAATACTTTAATTGAATTTAATTTGTGTATCCCTGTAAATAAGGACGATTTATACAAATTATTAGAATATAAATGTAAGGGTATGATTTATACGGTCTAATTTTAAGGATGTATGACCAATAACTAACGGGTCTTTGGTTCGATTCCCGCCGGATCAAACACGTTTGAAATTCATTTTCTGCTTGTTTTTAATCAAGTTTGACCATTTATCGTCACCATAAATCAGGTAGGAAAACTGACATTTAGTCGAGTCGTGTAACATCGTCCACAGACGAAAAAGCCGTAAAGTTAGTTCGCGCTTCGATTTTAGCCTGTGCACTTGCCAAATGTTTGGGGGTCTTTATCACCCATTCTTTGACATGTTATAAACAAAGCATGAATTATATAATAGAAAATATACCTTAATCATTGCTTTGAGAAGCGCATATCGTGTGAAGACGTTCCTCTGAGATTTCGACTCGCTGTACCTTGCCATCAGCGTGATGAGGGCTTTCTTCGCAGTGTCATAGTTTTCGTCGAGTCGTATGCGCACGGCGCGAAGACGCTCATTTGTTTCTATAACCTCTTCCTTTGTCTGCCCGCCTGGTACCAATTCATTTGATAAATATTAATAACTAATAACAGATCAAATAGCAAGATTCGGTATCTGCTAGTTCCTTTGATCCTAGTAGCACTGAGTCAAAGTCAAAAAATATTTATTCATGTAGGTAACTAGGTACATTTATGAACATCACAAAACTAAAGAATCTTAACTTTACATTTGCTACCAGTTCTCAAAACAATGGCGTAGAACGAACGAGAAGAACTGGCAAGAAACTCGCCGACGTCTTCACGTCCTCTAAGTATGCTACATTTTTTGTTTTTGTTAGGGCGGGTTCCTCCACACCCCAATCATTTCAAGAGTATCAAATGTATACGTGGTAATTAAAAATGAAATGTCTTCAATGCTTCTCAATACATCTTTATCAACACACACATATTATTTCTCGAACTTTCAAAGAAAGTTTTTCACGCAAAGTAAAGTTTCGCTTTGATCATTGGAAACAGTCTAATGCGATAGAAAGAAAAAGGAAGTGAGTTCCCAAAGGAAACTGGGAGCAGGAAGATACAGTATTTTGTTCATTGAATAAGAAATACTTACTCGAGGCGCCCTCGTCTTTGACATCTTGAACTATTCGTCGAACACTTTGTGTGAATTTGCCAACTAGATTGGTTGCTGCAACAAAGGGAAAAGAATTATGATCTATTTGTAACCGCTGAATCTCTCACGGTCTAATGATGATAATTATTCGATTTATTGGGATTCCTATTGCAAAATTAAATAGTATTGTTTGTCAATTGGAATTACATAATAACACTTTTTAGTGATGATTGCAGAAGATGAAACGAGTTCACCAGCATAAGAGGAAATTGACCCACTTTTCTTCATTATCTTTAATTGTTGTAAATTCTTCGAAAGAAGCTCGATTATACTAGATAGAATGATGGTGTTCCACTGCCTTGCTGGGCTCCCATAGGAGAAAGGATTTACAGAATAAGACCTGCGTCAAATGTAAAATTAAAGGAACTGACTGTCCGTGCGGGTTGTCGCTTAAACGATGTCTCCATAGTCCATCAATAAGGAATCATAACCGGGACCGACTGCTTACGTGTTCTGTTAGGTGTGTTTAATCGCGATTTAGTGTAGATTTATATGACTGGGACATTTTACATGCCGTCAAGTTAACGCCATGCTTGTCTGTCCTCCTTTATCATAAAATACGGATAAAGAATATTCAATGATAAGTCATCATAGAATTTTGGTAGAGAAAGATTGGTAGATTGGTTACATTTCCCCTTTCATGACACCACTAACCTAACAGTGTTCAACCTTACGGTCCACATAACCCCTATCTCCCCTATACCTCTTTGTATTGCAACTGAGTTAGATGCCACAATACGCATTGCAACACGGCTATGCACTCAGCTCCGAAATCTAAGCTTGAAGTGAACAGCGCGACCTGAATATCGAGCGTTTGTTATCAAACCTATGTCTCTGTTGAGTGTTTACTTTGTATACGATTTTAGTACTCAAACCATATAAAGTGGAGTGCATACATTTTGCAGGCAGTATTCAATTTCCTGTAACTTTGTCAGTATAAAGCCTGGAAGCTTTTGCAATAACCCAAAACGTAACTCTATTCAGGCCTTCTATTAGTCTTCACATCGAAAACAAAAGTGAAAAAATTCGGTGTTTGCTAACAAACCAATTTGATCCTGGTTGTTATTTGTTACCTTATTAAATACTATCTTACCTACTTCCGTAGAAAAAGTAACAATAAAAAAATAATTAATACGATTTTCACACAGCTAAATACGCACTTTACGCACGTGCTAATTGCATATGATAACATTAAATCCCGGATTTATTAATGCTAGCATAGCCGCTACATATAGAATGGACACCAAAATGGTTTTTTTTATACATTTTATGCCATCGTCCTGCCGTAGCCCCGTCGTCTTGCAAGTTAATCTAATATAACATATTTCCAGACAGCAATTTTGGTCGTTTAAAGATAAATCATTCTTTCTTACATTTTTTGGATATCTTGCAGCGTTTGCGCAACGGAAACCAACAAAGATGAATAATTTCTTCGTCATCCCAATGTTTCTTCGCTCCCATTGGTTTCAGCGTGATGTTTTATAACCTCGGCGTGTTCAAGCCAACAAACTCTTCCGCTTTATAATATTAAGTATAGATGTAATTGCGTATAAACCAGCAAAAGTATTTTAATTAAGCTAAAAAGAACACGGAACACAAATACTCAACAAAATATTCCACTTACAGTGTACACGTAAATTTTTATATCTTCTACCACTACTATGTAAACTGGCACTACATTTCAGTCTTCCTAATTCTATCGCATTATGTCACCTGCCTCTATTCATAAACGCTTTTACGAGATTTATTCGCAGGTACTAAGGCTATTTTAGGTTAAGAGTGCTATCGTCTTTAAGAACGTCGTTTGGATTTAACTGTTTTCCTCGAGTGTGAAGGAGTGGAGGTAAGTTTTAGTGGTTTTTGGGTGGAGGTCGAGAGTAAACATGCTTAAGTTTATGTGCTAGTAAATCCAATTCAACCTCTAATAAGTTCTAAAACACGAGGTCAAAACAGCTTAGATAGAATTAATAAAGTATTCCGAGTATCCAAAGCCAAAATAGAATGAAATAGATAGAGAAGTTATACGGCTGGAGCATTTCGCCTTCCACCAAGTAAACCATATGCTAGTCTGTCCTTCTCTATCATAAAAAGGACCGCTCACTAAAGCTAGATCTTCAGTATTAATTGAATTTTGCAGACCCAAAACAACACTAAACGGATATTCTCTTGTAATAATTCATAATCTATGAGAGATATGCATAAGATTATAAAATTTAACGCCCACGTCGGGCAATAGTGACGCGGGGTGAGTGGTAAATCGTACTACAACCTCCTCGGAGACGATAGGCGACCAGAACCACTGTTTAATGGTTCTAATCGGCTGATCGGTGTGTTTTACCACCAGCCGGCTACGGTGCTTTGAGAGAGCAGACACATGTTAGACCTGGTGGAAATCTTACCTACGTTCGTTTATTATCACACATTACTACCATTAAACCAACGAGTTCTACATAATAAAAATCATTTCATTTACTGTTTTTCCATTTATACATCTGCCATTTGTTGAAAACGCATTGAATTGCACAAGTACCTAATGAGTAACACGTTTCATATTATGATTTCATAGATAATTTCCACCTAGATGCGACCTTTATAACATTCCGACCTTTGACCCTATGTAACCAACATGACAATGGTTAAATTGGACCCACAACTTTGTGTTATATGTTAACGCGTCCTTGATGTTTGATTGAGAAGAACCCGTCGTTTCCATTTCAGTGGTTTTTACGTTGCACCAACATTGCAAAGGTAAAATCGAAAAAAATTGAACTCGGGCAGGACTTCAACCGGCATCGTCAGCGTTCCGTGCTGTTGCTAGTTAAATAGTGCCTTTATGTGCAATAACATGTAAAAAATAATAAAGTTTTCAAGTAAAATCTATCTATCACATTCTCTAGGTGGATTTAATTAAAACACTTTAGGGCAATAGAAGTGACAAAAAAAAAGAATAATAAAGGAAGTTTATTTCTTACTAATTGTTTATTTCTATTGCCGCTAATTGCTTCTAAATACATATATTTAAAATCAAAAAAAGATAATCATTTAACGAAGACAACACGTAGAGTAATAACACAAGTTATATATTCACAAATTGCTCAAAATATTTTTAATTAATTACAAAATTTAATAAATATTTATAGGTATTTAATTACCCGAAAATACCGCCATTGTGGCCTATTTTTGCTCAATGTGAATACATTGTAACAGGTATTGATTAAAAATGGTTATAATCTTATATTATAAAGCTGCAGAGTTTATCTGTTTCAACGCACTAGTCTTAGGAACCACTTGTTCGAATTGAGAAATTCTCTGCTGGTTAGAGCATTTATCGAGGAAGGCTGTAAAACATCACGATGCGACTAATACGAAAACAGTGGGAAATGTGAAGGATACGGGGGAAATGATTAGTTTTTTACGGTTTTCGTTGCGTAAACGGTTAAAGATATTTAAAAAAAAATCCTCTAAATACTAACAGCTATAATTCATAAAGATCAGGAGATGGTTTTACAAAAATTAAATTTGACGCCGATACTACTCTATGCTGACAAAGTCGCGGGCACAGCTAGTGATGTATAGATGTAGATGGATTTTTTTTACGATCTTATAAATTATTTTATACTTATTTTTTTAATAAAACTGAAGACATATTCATTTGTTACAGCTTTATTAAAACTACAAGAGATAAAAATTTACGTACTAACTTATAAATACCGATATGGATAAAACAAATATCAATTACATTTAAATGTATTCGTTGAACACTAGAAGATAAGTATGTGAAAGGGTTTTTATTCTGAAGTTGAAGCCTTGTGCAGGGAGCCGAGAAATCAAACACGCCGACATATTGGAATGTCTCTTTTACATTTATTTTTGCAATTTTCTCACTTCGCTGACAATTAACAAAGCTTTGAAGATAGAGTTAATTGAGTTTACTCTGGCTTATACATTCTGATTACACGGGAAATAATAAAGGTCGTAATATGTGTAATACTTTTTTTAATGATAGAGGGGGATAGAGAAGTATAGGGTTCAATTGTTGGTAGGCGAAATAATACATTTAATATATACATTTGAACAAGATGCGCTATCGACCTATTTTGGCTTTGGTTATTCGGAAAAACACAGACTGAAACAGAAATGCGATAAAACGTGACGGCTTTTTCACCTTTAGACGGTGTTTATGACGCTTAGGGGTTGTCCATTAATCACACCACAAATCATGACCTTTTTTTAGAATTTTTAAACCCCCCTCCCCATTGGTGATACGTAGTGAGGTTTAAGACCACCCTCCCCCTACTTTTTAGTACCTACAAAGAATCTTAAAATTTTCTGAATATTATCTTAATATAAACTATAATCTTATTTTATTCTGAAATTAAGGACCATAATAAAAATGTCTACACCATTTGGTTAAAAATCGCGCGTTTGACGAAAAAATAAATACAGGAGATATCTTACTGTAAACCCCCCCTTCCCCTTGTGTTATTTTCGTGATTTTTATCAACCCCCCCCCCATTTCAAGCCTCACGTGATTAATGGACAACCCCTTATGGCTTTAATATCTAAATTTTTAGACGAAGTCCAACATGATTTAGAAAAAATATTAATTAAGTAGAAGCACGTTGGACCCGGTGGGGATTGTCCCACGACTCGTTTCCAACAAACCAGTCAAAAAATAAATAATCTATAAATTTGAAATTGTACATACAAGTACACATGATACAATTAAAAATTACAAATACACATGTACGTGTAATAAACCTTAAGAAGCTTGGAAGAGACACAGCTGTCTACAATGAAGTTATCGATTTAATTAATAGGTTATCGGTGGAATGAAATCTTGTTTTGGCTGGTGGCATTGAACGCTTAAATTTCTATTTTCTCCCAGTTTTACCTCAAGACTTTCTAGCTTAGTGTTAGAGAGCTAAGAGTTTACTAATTATTGTGTCTGCTATTTTATCCAATTAAAATTACTTATTTCTATTTTTTAGGATTTTGGAAAATCAACTTGAGGCTGAAATAACCCGTTTTATTTAGTCATTAGCTGTGTCAGCAACTTCGTCCACAGATAAGTTATTTTGGGCATCCAAATTTGTTTTTGCAAAGCTCTACATGTTTTTAACTTTAAGCTGCCCAAGACATAGGTCCGTCGTTCTGGCAAATTAATATTTAAAGATAGACATTTAATGTCGCGGACATTTTTTTAGATAATTTAAGGAGGAATCATTCTTTTATACATATTTTTTGGGTGGTTTGAACCGTAATCGCAGCGTACGCATCTGAAACCCACTGAGCTGAAAAATTTCGCCCATTTTGTTGCTGTTTCCCGCTGTGTCTTCGCTTCTATTAGTTACAGCGCGATGTTTTATAGTCTATATAGCCTTCCTCGATAAATGCTCTAAATAATACAAAAATAATTTTTCGAAACCGTAGTTCCTGAGATTAGCGCTTACAAACAAACAATCTCTTCAGCTTAATATATTAGAACAGATATAACATATTTCGGCTAAATAAACTTTAATATACTGTGTTACCAATAGGTGAGGAAGTTAATATCTACACTAATATTATAAAGAGGAAAGATTTGTATTTTTGTATGTACGTTTGTATTTTGGATAAACTCAAAAAGTACTAGACCGATTTTAGTAATTCTTTTTTTATTAGAAAGCTACAATATCACTGTATCACATATAAATTTAGTACTAGATTACTATAGAAATCTTTAGAAATTTCTTTCAAAACC